GACTTCTTCCTTCAGTACCATCAGGCCTTGATTGAAATGGTTGAGCGCTGAGCAGTTCTTTTCAGTACAGGGATTCTGTGTGTTTCTTCCATCTTCTGTTGACGCTTCCTACGTCAATTGGTATTTTACCCATTGTTTTCGTCATTAAGTGCTCTCAAAGCAGTTCTGACTCCTAGTGATCCTGTGTAGGGTGTCCGAGGCTGTAAATCTTTGTGGGAACAGAAAGCCTCATCTTTCTCTCATGGAGCTGCTGGTAGGCCTGAACCGACGACCTTGTGGTTCACAGTCCAGTGCTAATCCTACAGAGCCACCCCCTCTCTAATTTGTACCTAGAATCCTTCAGTATTGCAACTTGATGCTTGAATTTTTTCCTTCAGTTCTTTCAACTTGAGAAATGCTGAGTGTGTTCTTCCCTGTTGGTTTTCTGACTCCAAGTCTTAACTCTGTCTTCTCAAGCTGCCCTTTGAAATTTTCTGCTTAGCTCTTTTGAGTCCTCATTTCTTTTCAAGAGCAAGTTTTGGAGTCACTCACTCCTCCTGGCATCCATTTTTATCTTTCTTGCCTTCATAATGACCTTCTGCTTTCTTCATATATGTTGTACTCGATGCCATTCCACAACTCTTCTGGTCTTAGGTCTGATGCATCAGAGGTGTTCTTGTGATGATGATCTCTAAGTTCAGAAGGGATAGATCATACTCAAGGACGGATTTCGGCTCTCGAGGGCTTGTTTAGATTTTCTTCAGCTTCAGTCTTAACTTGGAGTATGAGCACTTGATGGTGTCTGTTCCATAGTCAGCCCCCAAGCTTATTTTGACTGACAATGATTTTTTCAATAGTCCCTTCCTTCTCATAGATGTAGCTCATTTGATTCCTGTGTATTCCATTAGGTGTTTTCCATGTGTGTTGTTAAGTGCTCGAGTCAGTTCCGACTCATGTGACTCTGTATAGGGTTTCCAAGGAGCAGCTGGTGAGGTTGAACTGCCGACCGTTTGGTTCAGACTGACCTTGAGTCCAGTGCTTTATCCCACAGTGTCACACCAGGACTCTTCCAGGTGTATAGTTGTCTTTTGTGTTGCTGAAAAGGTGTTTGCAGTAAGTAAGTCATTGGTCTGGCAAAATTCTGTCGCATGATCTCCAGCATCTTTTCTCTTACCAAGGCCAGACTTTCCGACTGATCCTTCCTCTTTGTTTCCAACTTTTGCATTCCAATCACCAGTAATTTTCAGTGCATCTTGCTTCAATTTCAGACTGAAGAAATTGGTAAAATTCTCCAATTTCATTATTACTGGCTTAAGTGATTAGTGTGTAAATTTGATTAATAGTGGTATTGACTGGTCTTCCTTATAGACGTACATGTATCATCCTGTCACTGACAGCGTTGTACTTCACAGCAGACCTTGGAGTGCTCTTTTTAACCATGAAGAAGACACTTTTCCTCTCCAGTTGTTCCAAGCGCAGTACACTGTAAACTGTGCTTCAGAAATGCCTATTGGTCCATGAATGTGGTGGTGTGTCTCTGTTTACTGGTCTTCTTTCTTTTCTGTTGGCCATATCTTGCAGGTTTCTGGATACTGTCTTCCACTTAAATTATTTTTAAAATTGTTGGTGAATATATATATAAAACAAACAACAATTCAACAAATTTTGTGTTTAATACGGTGATACTGATTACATTCTTTAAATCGTGGAGCCATTTTCATTCTTTTCCTGGTAAGTTCCCACCATTAACATGAAACCACTCCGCCCTAAGCAAGCTTGGAGCAGCTGGTAAAAGCAGGATTCCATAGATTACGTTCTTTAAAAGAGCACACTGCTCATGGAGACCTCCTTCATGAGCTCAGCTAGGCTGTTGTCTACTTTAAGAACGGTTTCAGGGGATATTGTTTGGTTTTGCTTTCAGGGTTAGAAATTATCCTGCTGCAGTGGGTTTTGGGTGTTCATCCAGTTTCTGTGGCATCAGAAAGTATAGATCCCATGAGAATTGGGGTTCTGCTGCACATTCCACCACCACCACCACCACCACCCCCTCTTGATCAGGCTTACCCTGTAGAATGAGTCCTCTTGACTTTTTTCGCTGGGGTCACACTCCCAGTAAAGTGACGGTGGCAGCGCTGAGAGGGGCGGGCATGCTTGCCATCTTCCTTGTTCTGGAAGGAAGTGCTCCATCTGAATGTGATTCTGGGATTTTCTAAGTCCAGTTACCAGTTGGAGAAAGTGCCTTGCTAGTAGTCTTGGTGTGCTGTGGGTTTTGATCGTGCATGAGTGCAGAACTCGGTCAGATGGCTTTCCAGCATCGGTTCCATTTGTTGTAACGAGTCTGTGGTTTCTTCTCCTTTTAAAGTCACAGTGAAGTCAGGGTGACAAATGGGCCTGGCCTTCCTGGGGTGCATTTTCTTCATCATCATCTACTGTTGGATTCAAAGGGGGGAGGGGGTGTTCACTTTGTCAAGTGTTTACAGCTGTCATCCTGAGGGCTCATGCTCTGTGGGCAGGTTTTAGGCCTTGTAAAATGAGTTGTGAAGTCCTGTCTCCTTAATCCTGGAAGAATGTTTGGAGAGTGGGTGGCATTGCTCTCCAGGGTTTGATAGAATTCACCAGTAAAGTCAGTCATCTGGACTGAGTTTCCTTCGTGAGAAGGTGCGTAATTACCTTCACCCTCTGTTTCCTTAATCGAAAACCAGTTTTTCTGGAATGGCTGTGATATTTTGTGTCCTTCAAAACTCAGTTCAATTTGTCTAGTGCAATGGAACAGCCTCCAAACATTTAGAGTGTCACATTTACTGGCATAAAGTTGTCCATAAAAGTCCCTTGTCTGTTGTTTGAAGGATTAGTACTTGTCATCTTTTGTTTCTGCTGTTGATAATTTATATCTTCTTTCTTTTCTCCTGACCAGTCCGGCGCAGCATTCATCAATTTTAGTGACCGTATTAAAAGAAACACATGTTGTTTTCATTGTTTCTCTTTATTGTTTTATTTTATTTTTTTATTAGATTTTATGGCTTTCTGCTGTTGATTATTTCATTTGACTAGCTTATGTAGGCTTTGATTTGCTCTTTTAGCGACCATATTAAAAGAACCACATTTTGTTTTCATTGTTTCTCTTTATTGTTTTATTTTATATTAGATTTTATGACTTTTTGCTGATTATTTCATTCGACTTGTTTATGTAGGCTTTGATTTGCTCTTTATCTAATTTCTTAAGGTAGATGCTTAAATCAGTTGTTTGAAATATTTTCTATTGTAGAATTGTTCATCTTTTGTTAAGAATACAACTCTAGGTTGGCAGTTCTTTTGGAACCTAAAATACATGATTCCATTATCTCTGGATTGAACTTTTTTTGATGAAAAGAGTTATTATGTATTATATATCCTTTATTTATAAAGGATACATAATTTCTCTTTACCACTGGCTTCTGCGAAGTTGATGATGGCATGCTTCTAAACAGCTGATTGTCTGTTTCTTCTGCTTAAGGTTTATTGAGATTCTTGTCTTGGATCAGTGAGCTTATCATTTTCATCAGATTTGGAGGAAAAAAAAAATTAGCAAGTATTCCTTCAGCGACTGTAGGTTTTGTCTCTTCCTTTAATTTCCCCGAAGTACAAGGAATGCCTTGTTTGCTGGGACACCAGTTACTTGTGCTTTTGACCATTTGATGCCAAATTACAGGCACGGATCCTCTTTTCTTTCTTCCTCTCTTCTCACGTTTTATTTTGCAGTTTTTATAGCATTGTCTTTAGTATATACTCTGATTTTAATCCCATCTAGTGTACTTTTCTGGTGAGGTTGTGGGATCAGTACTGGACTGCTAACCACAAGGTTGGCAGTTCAAACCCACCACCCACTCTTTGGAAATCCTATTCAGGGTCACCATGAATTAGAACAGGTTCGATAGCACTTAAAAACAACAGCAAAGTGTGCCTATCAAGGATCCCTGGTGGTGCCATGGGTTAAACATTGGACTACTGACTTAGAGCGTGGTGGTTTGAAGCCACACCGCTGGAGAAGGAGGAAACAGTGTTGGAAGCCCTGGCGCAGTGCTTCTCTGCCTCTGTCCTGGCGGGGTGCTGTGACTCCACACCAGTTCTGTAGCAGTAGGTTTTTACAGCAGGCATCGCTTTGTTTACCTGCACTTTATTTTTAGACAACCTACCCATGTTTTTTGTTTTGTGTTTTTCTTTGACCAGTCCTGTTTGTCTAAGTCCTGGTGCTATGAGGATGACCAGCACTAGCCTGTTAGGACGGCAGGTGACCGACACAAGGAACTGTCACATCTGGGGACATTTCTCCATTTCTAGGTTATCTCTCGCATCACGTATGGGGTCACAACACACTTGCTATCATCCACCTGCATTCATGTTTTCACCAGGAAGGAGCTGTTGGTGGCTTTTGAAGTGGACTGTGGTGAGCGTGGTTTATTCGGCCGCCTCAACAGTACAAGGCTTCCCTCTCTTTGGTCTCTGTTGTGTGCATTGGCCTTGGACTGATTTATGTTACTGCATCTGGACGCAGCTCCTATACTGCTTACTTACACGTTACAACCTCTCTGGTCCCCTCGCATGCTGGTAGCACCAGGCAGGGACCACGGGGACCACGGAAGTGCCTGGGCCACAGGGACCCGCTCTCAGTATGGGTTAGGTCATCTGAGGCAGAGATTTGGGAGACAGGCCCCAGACCAGTGGTCTTTGTCTCAGCTGGAGTTATAGCAGCAGGTCTTGTAAGGAAAAGCCCCATGTGGGGGCGGCATTGATGAGGCGGGTGGGGGCAAGCCACCAGCCCTATGAGTCCTTACAGTGCTGAACCAAAAGGAAAAATTCAAACTGTGTCTGTATCCGGGTTCTGTTTTTAACATAGATGATTGTAAAGCAGCTCGATAGAGATTGTTGCAAGCAAGATGACATTTGTGTTCTCACAGAACATGAGTCAAACATACCAGCATGAAAGTACCTAGAAGAAACCATGCCTGCTGTCCCATTCATTGCTTGTCTCTGCTTTTCTTTAGCGCCTTGCTTCCTGTTTTACATCACAAATCTAAAAAAGGACCCCCACGGCAAGCCAAGTATGCCGTCCATTGTATCCACGCCATTTTCTCCAGCAAAGAGACCCAGTTCGCACAGATATTTGAGGTATGTTTTGTAAGAAAATGCTGATTTTTGTGCACATAAACTCTATAGTATTTCTTCAGAATAGGATTCTGTGAACTCTCAGCACTGATGAATGGTTAAAATATGAAAAGATGTGATTTGTCTGATGTTCCGTATTAACTTAAATTCAGAAAACTTAAACAGTTACATAACACCATTTGGTATTGCTTTATATTTAGATCTTAGTCATTGGAAACAGTTTTTTGTTAGCCAGTAATTACATCTAAAAACCATAGTTATCAGTCATAGTGACCACCGGGTGATTGTTCTGTTTTCTACACCACGGACACTTTTCTGAGCTGCTATCGGAGTCCTGGGGTGGTGCTGTAGCATAGGAACGGGACTGAAAACTTCAGGGTTGCCAGTTCAAACCCACCCAGCCACCACTCAGAAACCCTATACAGGGAGGGTTTGCTATGACTTGGAGCCGACTTGATAGTTTACAACAACTGAAATTTAAATCAATACTAATGCGTTTCCTAAAGTGAGTATATTTATTAACCTCCAGTTTTGTGTTAGATTACCAGGGTGTCTTTCCCGTGTGTGTATTCATGTTCTTCCCCTGTCCTTGAAATCACCTTCAGCTTTCTAAGCATTGCAGTTGGGTTGCATTCTGTTATATCCGAGGGCTGTCTTTAGTACTGTTAATGTAAATCACAGCTAAGCAAGAAATGCATTCATTCCGAACTACACCTTTTGTCCAGGGACTTGGTGATGCCAGAGCATTTAGGATGCGATGCAGAAGTTGCTACCCTAGCTGCTTTTAGACTTTCCCGTTTCTGAAGGCTTGTTTTGCTGTCACGTGTGACACTGTGTGTCACTTCAACAGGTAGAAGAGGTGGGAGGCCCCATGTCTTCAACCATCTTCCAGGCAGCTGCTCTGCTTTTTAATTTGTTGTTAAGTGCCGCCAAGTCGGTTCTGACCCATAGCTAGGGTTTCCAAGGAACGACTGGTGAGCGTGAACCACCAACCTTACGGTTCAAACCAAGTCTGCAGTCCACTGCCTTAACCCACAGTGCCACACTAGGACTCCCTGCTTTTTGGTAGCAAATAGTTTATTTTCAATTTTTCTTTTTGGTGTTATTTTCTCTAATACGTTTTTGTACGAGAAGAAGGTCTTTAATAAACTCATGTTGATTTATAGAAAGCTTTTGCTTTTCTTGACTGATCTCATTTTACTTCTTTTCAATGATGCTGATAAGGAAGGTAATCCTGACACTAACTTGCATTTGTTAGGGTACTTTAATCTTCAGTTTGGTAGTGTATCTTATCTGTAAGTCTGGCTGACTTTTGACAAAAAGGGAAAAGTGTCATGAAGATAGCTGGCCACAAGCCCAGGATCTGGTCCTTTATGTCAGCTGCCGGAAACCACATCACTAATTTACTGTGAAGAATGATCAGATTTGTGATGGCAGTGAATTGACAGTAACTGTAGACTGTGTTAGAGTTTTGCTTATTAGACAAACGAGAAACTGGCCTGTAGCTGGACATGCAGTGCATGTGTGGGTGGAGGGAAGTTATCAAGAGTGGCAAGAACTAAACTCATTTGAATATATGTGCATTTTGCCAGGGTAAAACCTCATACTGTCCTGTGGAGAAGTTGGGAAAGAACACATAACTGTTTTTACCAGAATCCTTAGTGTTAGTTTGGTACATTGATGACATGGGTTCTCTTTCTAAATGTGGCATGGGAATGATTAGCAGCTAATACATGAGCTTGTTTCCTATCAGAAGGTAGAGAAGGTGTGGACTCACTCCTGGGCCCTGTGGACCTGTTAGATTGTTAAACTGCCCACAAGCTCCAGGCATCTCCCTATGCGCCAAAGCCCACACGCTAGATGCCTCAGCAGGGACAGGCACACCCCAAAGCTCCCTTGCTCAGTGGTGTGAGTTCCCAGCTCATTTAATGCATGTCTGCTATACTGGTGTGGCACTGCGGGTTAAGGCGCTGGACTGCAAAGTCGGTTTGAACCACAAGGTTGGCAGTTCAAACTTACCAGCTGCTCCTTGGAAACCCTATACAGGGTTACTATGGTTCCAAAGACTCAAAGGCACTTAATAATGACAACAATCGTAGTGTTTGAAGGAGCTCTGGTAGCAGAGTTGGCTATGAGTTGGGCTGCTAGCCACAAGGTCAGCAGGTCGAATCTACCAGCTACATTTTGGGAGAAAGACGAGGATTTCTGTTCCCATAAAGCTTCACAGTCTCAGAAACCCCACGCCAGGAGGATTGGAAGTGACTCCATGGCACACCATCCCCACCCCTGCCATAGTGTTTCTAGGCAATAGCGCTTGTTCACGGCCTGTGCTTACCAACCATGCCCAGCCCCCGTGTGCTCCTCCCTCCCCACAGGGTAGTTTCATAAGCACTCTCTACCAATATATTTTGTAAACGTGTTGTTGAAAAAAAAAATGAGCATAGGCCAGTACTTACTGGCCTGGGAGAGTGGCAGACAAAAGCAGAATGCTAACTTTGTAAAGTACAATAAGGACAAATAAACACACAGAACAAGTGTTGTCCCCCCATACCAGTGACAGCACGAGGTCTCGCCTGAGTTTTTACATTTCTGTAGTTGACATTTTGGGTGTCATTCCATGTGAGTGTAAAGGCTCTTCGTGCTCTCATGGCCAGATGTGCGTGCCTGGTGTCCACTGGGCGTGCAGTTAGCAGTCGCAGCCACACTAGACTTCCTTACGTCACTTCTGAAAAGTCCGCTTCCCTCGCGGCTTTTGCCCGCTGCCATGTGCCTTTTCTCCTGCATCACGCAACACCCACCTGCAGCCCGCCCACACAGGAAACTGGCCGTGTGGCCCTGCTTATGCCCAGGAAGTAGGAGACTAGGGATTGCTGGGGAACCCCAGCAGTCTCTAACATAGTCACTGTCAGAATATACCAGGGGGCTTCCCAAAGATCCTGGGAAAATGGAATGGAACGATAAAGTTTTCTTGGAACTTTTTGAAGTTCCCGTTGTGTACTACTTATGAATGTGATTCCACACGCTGCAGTGTTTCCTGACCTGCCTAACAGGACGTGGGTCAGACCAGAATTGTTGTTCAGGGCCCATCGAGTCAGTTCTGACATGTATCACTCCTGTATAGGCTTTCCGAGGCTTCACAGTCCAGTGCTTACTATAGAAAGCCACTGTGCTCCCTAGTCATTCTGTGGAACCTGTAAGCCACACCGGCTCATGCAGAGACGGAAACTGCGCACAGTGTGTCTGCATACGTGTATTGTTGAGTATAAATTCTGCTCCTCTTTTCCAGCCTCTGCATAAGAGTCTCGATCCAAGCAACCTGGAGCACCTCATCACGCCACTGGTCACCATGGGCCACATCGCTCTCCTCGCCCCTGACCAGTTTGCTGCACCATTGAAATCTCTGGTAGCGACTTTCATCGTGAAAGACCTTCTTATGAATGACCGGGTAATTAACGTTCCTTTCAGCCTGAGCGCTTCACCGTGTGCTTTCCCGAAATGTTACACCACAGTTGTAAATAGTGCTTCCTTCTGGGGGCCTGGCTGCCCTTTCTTACATGTGCGTAATCGCTCTTCACCATGTGGCCTGAACTGCTGCAGCGGCCTTGGCTCAGTGCACGCTCTCTGCAGGCTGAGCTCTGTGTGGTGACAGTCTAGTTGACTGAATGTATGGGTGTGTCTGGACCTAGTCCGCTCCTGCCTCCATACACTGGAGCAGACTTTGAGAAGGAAGTAACATTTTTGTCTGTCTCCCATTCGTATCTGGGAGGATGGCTCTCTTGACACACGTGTGGAGGTTCATGCACACGTGTGAGTGTGTCTTCATGCCACTCACAGACATGTTTTTTGCTCAGCACTGCACTACTGATCAGGAAAATTGGAAGAAATGAGATTCATGAGCTTCTGCTCTGAAAACAGAAGCATTCAGATTCAGGTGCATAGCTGTATTGTCTGTCACCTCTTCAACTGCCTGTCATCCCATACTTAGATTCGTTACTGAGAGAGACTTTGGGCGCATAATCATCATGATCATTGATGTGCTGACCATAAGGTCCCTCGTGGTTTGTGACTGAACAGACAGGATCTGCAGACCAAGGGCCCAGAGCATTTCCAGAGTCTGCGGTGCCTTTGGCTGTGTGTTCCGTCAGAGGTCCTGGTCACTGTTGGGGTAGGCGCCCGTCTCCATCCAGGCTGCCGTCTCTCCGACGTGCCTTGTGGCCGCTTTTGCTCTTTGTCATCTGAGTAGCATGTCTTTTTGCTGCTGGGGTTGTTTCCACACGCATCAGTCCTTTGTCAGGGGCAGTGTCTGTACAAAAGGCGTCAGGCTCCATCTATGATTTGTCTTGTCACTCTGGTACTGTTCATGAAAAAAACAAAACTTGTGTTTCTGGTGAGAAGCATAACACATGTCGTTTAGGTTCCCAGCAAAAAAGTCGTTAACTTTAATGTGACTAAATGTGTTTTTCTTTTCTCGTGTGGCCAATGTTTCTATACCTTGTTCAAGAACTTCTTTCCTGTGCCAACATCATGAAAACAAGTCTTCCACAGCACATCCTCTGAAGGCTCTTAGGTTTGCTGTTCACATAGAAACCATGTAATCTGTCTGGAGTTGATTGTTTTGTGTGCACTCTGTCGTGAAAGTTTCCATTTGCCATTAGTGTCTCATGAAGAGGACAAATAACTTGCCTTAGAAACAGAATTCAGACACATCTTAGGTTGTTAGATGCCATCAAGTCAGTTCTGACTCATAGCGACCCTGTGCACAACAGAATGCAGCACTATTGGGTACCCCAATTTAATTAATTTTTTTTTTTTTTCTGTTTGTGGTTGATTTGGGCAGATTGTTTTATAGTTTTGCGCTTCTGCCCATCTTTCCTGTCACTTATGAAGAATGGTAGTTGAAATGATTTTCCAATCCTTATGTTTTTGTGTTTCTGTGTATTTCAGTTGTTTAGTCGTCTTCACCTCCTCTCCATCTTCTGAGCGAGATGTGGTCAGGTGCTCATTAGCAGTGGTGGAGTTTTCAGTGTTTCCTTATTCCCTTGATCATTTTGGTTCGGGCATATTTTGGTATGCTCCTGCTAGGCGTATCAGCATTAAGGGCTTTTACGTCTTATTGGTGGTGCCATGAAGTGTCGTCGAGTCGATTCCGACTCATAGCAACCCTGCATGGGGTTTCCCAGAAGTGGCTGATGGGTTTGAACATCTGACCTTATGGTTCAAACCAACCTTGTGGTTCAGTGTTCACCCTACAGCGCCACACCAGGGCTCTAGGTATATGTCTTATTGGTATAAATGAGAATGTTCCTAATTTTTAACCAAATTCCATTCAGTTCTTCACATCCAGACTGGCGTATTTTTGCCATCTTTTTAGTATTATTAGATTTTCTGTGTTGTTTTTGTTGTATTTTATTATTATTATTATTATAATTTTTATAAATCTATAGTTTTTTTAAGACAAAACTGACAGGGTAGTATGAAGTTTACATTTAAACAATGTTTTCACAGAAACCTAACACATGCCTAAAGAGTTGATGTAGTTCAGATGATGTCAAGAACTGGTGGATCTCATGATTCAAGATAAAGCATTTTGGGTATTAGTTCATTTTTAGGATTAAAAAAAAATGGTGGTTTGTTTTGTTTTTCTAAGTGAACCACTGCCCCAGTGTGAAAGTTTACTTTTCTCCTGAGACTAGGGCTTTAAAAATCTTTCATCCCTCGAATTATTAGTTCAGTGAAACTTGTGCTATTAGTGATTGAACCCTGCCACTAATGGCTTAAGAGTTCAAAGTTCATAACAGAGAGACTCCAAGAGATTTCCACCCCAAGAGCATGGGCTCTTATCTTTCCCACTTTCTCATCTCCACTACTCTCCTTTGCCTCCCCCAAATAGCTCACCCAGAGGCTTGGATGGACACGCTGTTATTTCTGACTTACTGGCAAAGAAAGGGTCTTTTTGTAAATTTCAAGAATTAGCACCTCTGAAACAGAATAATCTGCTTATATGTACTTTCCAATAAAACACATTCCCTCTTCAGTCAGTTTCCATTCCAAAATGGAGGCTTTGGTAACTTACTGGCTTAGTCCTTTGTAGGGACAGCATTAAGCTCAGGCAGGGAATACCTTGGCTTAAGTTCCAGGCACACAGAGCTTTGAAGCAGTCTCTCACTGTCCTCATTTCTGCTGCCAATGACTTTTTTTTTTTAAAGGTAAAATATTTTGGACATAGAATCAAATCAACAGTTGTTGGTTTCATCATTTTCCCAATCAGAAATTTTAACAAAAATGATCCTATCCATCTCCCTTTTCCCCACCCACCCCTCCCATCCCAAATATACACCAGTAATAGCCAAAAACTACACACATGCTACGTTGTAAAAATGTAGAGTTAACACTATTGGGAAGAAGGCTGTGGGTTGTGGAGATGCTCTCTGAAGATGTACAGTATCTCTTTGTTCTCCCACACACTCATGCTGCAAGTTTTGTCCTTCATAGAAGGCCCTTTGCATTTCTCAGCAAAGTGCAGAATGTGTTGTCTTGAAACACTTATTCGCTTCCTTTCCACTGGGATGGGTGTGCAATCTAATCTCTACAGCATGGGACGGCTTTAAAGCACTTAGGCTGCTGTAGGGCACAGAAACTATACTGGCTCTTCAAAGGACATCTTCTCAAGCCACTTCTATAGTGTCAAGACAAGTAGAACTCCTTCCCCTCCCCACTTTAAACCCACAGTCATGTGACAGGGGCTGGTACTCAATAGAGTTAATTCTTGTCATCTTTTTTGTCATCATCCTCCGAGGGGTAGGAATGCCACGTCAGCCTTTCCTCATAGAAGGATATGACAACCTGTGGGCACTTGACGTTGGCTTCCTTGGCGGGGACCAGGTCAGCCTCATGAGAGTTTTTCCATTTCATCAGGAAATCAGCTCTCCACTGGAGTCTGTAGCTCCAATAATCCGCTCCGGCTCCAAACCCCGGGCAAAGCCTCGTGGCTTTTCTGACTCTTCTTTCTTCTTTCGTTTACTTTCCTCTCCCTCATCTTCAGAATCAGAATCAGCTTTGCGCTTGCCTCCCTCTGATTTCTCTGTCTCATGAGCTGTTTTCTGTGACTGTAGAAACTCAGCAATGAGGTCACGACAGTCCAGGTTCTCTTCTGGCTCCCACGTGTGGTCTGCATCTGAGAAACCCTTCCACTTTAGAAGGTACTCCACTTTGCCCTTTACCACTCGGCGGTTGAGAACCTTTTCCACCACATATTTCTCTTCCTCCTCTTCTAGCACCTCTTCCACTTTCTTCTTGTTTTGTTTTTTCCCCATAGTACCCGCCAGCTTTCTGGTATAAACGGTGACGCTGCTCAGAGCAGCACCCAAGAACCAGAGGGGAATCGGTGCCACGCTACTGGCGTGTCGCATCGGGCCGGCCAGGGGAGTGGCACCCACAAAAGCAACAAGGCGAGTGGCTGCGAAGGAACCCCTCCCTGAAGCCGCGTACCGCAGGCCCCGACAACAGCCCTCCCCTCTGCCGAACAAAAGACCCTCTCCTATTTTATTATTTTTTAATGCATCTGTTTGTCTCACTTACAACTTTTCCTTTTTAGATTTTTGTGGGGTTTTTGTTATTGTCTTAGCTGCTTGAATGGTTTTTGTGTGAGTGTTGAGTATGTAGTAAGTCTGGTTAAGTAATCCTTCCAAAATGGGCTTGCAGTTTAGAAACTTTTTCTCAGTCTTCAATTTTCTGAGCATGTTCCCTTCTTCCTTCCTGAGTTCTAATTAATGTCCAGGAAGTTCACATATTTGGGCGCCCGAGGACTCTGAGCTGACCTGATCCTGCTCCATTTCTGGGTAGCACTCCCAGCCAGCCCTGGAAGCATTTGGTATCTTTCAGATCCCTGTTTCATGCCTCTGCTGGACACGAGAAGGCTGCTCTCTGAGGGAGAGTTGAGACAGTGGGCCTGTGACTCCCCAGCTTTGTGTGTGAGACGGATTTCCCTTTTGAATGTTGGCACAGGGTTAACTGAGATGTGCTCCAATTCCTATATTCTTGGCCGCCCCTGGAAGTCAACAGGTGTCCGCAGGGGGAAAACTGGGATCTCCAGTTGTTTGAGATTCGTTTCATATCTTTTTGTCACTTTATTGTAATTTTTTGGCTGCTTCCCAGGATTCATACCTCCCAATACATTCAGTTACTCAACTTCAGATATTAAAGTCCTTAATTTTGTTTAGCTTCCAGGTAAAAAGACAACTAAACTTTGGGTTCCTGATGAAGAGGTTTCTCCCGAGACAATGGTCAAAGTGAGTAATGTGCACAAAAGTTGGTTTTCACATATTGAGCATGTTGTAATATTATCACAGTGTCCCTTGATGGCTACAGTTTGCTTTAGCTCCTCACCAGAAGGTCTGTCTGTCCATCCAGTCATCCACCTATCCATCTGTCTATCTGTCCATCCACCTGTCTCTCCATCCACCAGCTCTCTATCCAACCATCTACCCACCATCTGTCTCCAGCCATCCGTCCATCCTCCATCCATCCATCCCTCCATCATCTGTCTTTCCCATCAGCTCATCTATCACCCATCTGTCTACCAATTCATCTGTCTTTCATCTAATCTATGATGTTATCTACCTACCACTCTATGAATATTTTTTTTCCTTAAAAAAAAAAAAGCACCCATTTAAAACATTTCTTGATGAAAAAGGAACATGTGATGTGGGACTTCTCTTTAAACGTCTCCTTTGCTGTGAGCAGATCCAGGCGATCAAGATGATGGTGCGCTGGCTGCTGGGGCTGAAGAACAACCATAGCAAGTCGGGGACGTCGACTTTGAGGCTGCTCACGACCATCCTGCACAGTGACGGAGACTTGACGGAGCAGGGCAGGATCAGGTACGCTGACCCGTCCAGGGCACCGCCGCCCCATAGGGCGTTCTGACTGTGCTGTGCTCTTGCATGATAATTCACATGTGTGCTGAGGCATGCTCTTCAGTGTGCTCTGTTAGAAGTGCATGTTTGTTGGCTGTGTGGGGTACTGAAAGTGTCACTCTTTGTGTTAGTGCCGCAGTCACACCTGTTGTTGTGTGTTTTTGTTCCTGCCGAAGGTAGAAGAGCATAGGAGTGACAGATGTTTGCCGCTGGGTATGCATAGGCAAACTTTAAAGATGGCCACGCTGTCAGCAACATTGTTTATTTCTCTTTCTTTTATTTGGTAGTTTGAAAGCTGTATGACAGTGTGATCTTCAAACACAGGGAATTGAAAACTTGAATTCTGGTTCCACCGCTTTACGAGAGGAGTTCAACAAGTTCGTGGAAAAATTCCATTAGCTCTTAATCCTGTGTGTCCATGAGCTTTTTGAAGTCCCACATTTCAGCGAGGTGACCTGTGGCCAGTGGCCCTGCTTCCTCACACAGCGGTGGAGATCGTGAATGACCTTTATTCTCCCCATGCTGAGAGGCAGGAAGACCTCGTGGCCCTAGGCTGTCACTGGGGACACTAACCACACTGGCCTGATGGAGCAGGTTTGACAGAAACCAAGGAGAGAGCCCTAGAGGCCAACGAGAGAATCTTTTCAAAATAACACAAAGCGGCTTCAAGAAGTTTGTGGGCAGATGGACCAGAAGGAAATGGAATTTCTTCACAAACTTTTTGAAGCCCCTTCTTACTGGCTTGCCCCTTTTTTCAAGTCCTTACGTAAGGACTTGAAAAACCCTCAAAATTGATTGAACTTTTTCAAGTGGGAGGCAGAAGAAAGACCTGGATACTTTTTTTTATTTAATGTTTTATCATGAATTATATGATATTTACATAGGAGAACATTAGCTTTGCATTCATCCTATCGTATATTGTTTCTTTGCCATGAGGAATCTGAGACACACAAGGTTGAATGACTTGCTGAGAAATAAAGTGACAGGTCCACTTTGGAACCTGACTTACCTGTGCAGCCCGCCTGTCCTCTGTGTGTTCATGGCCACTGAACTGTCTCATCTCTGTAGTTGTTCTGACTCAGCGACCCCGTTTAGGGTTTCTGAGAAGCGGCTGGTATATAGGGTTTGAACCGCCGACCTTGTGCTTCAAACCGTCCTTTCTGTTCAGTGCTTACCCTACAGCGCCACACCAGGACTCCGTCTATAGTATATAGTTGGAGTTGCCTCCAACGCCTAGTGCCCCCATAAGGCAGAGTAGAACTGCCTCGTAGGGTTCTTGAGGCTGTGACTCTGTACAGACACCTCGTCTCTCACAGAGAAGCTGGTAGGTTTGAACTGCTGACACCTTGAGGTTAGCAGCCTCGTGACATTACCCTGCGCACCACCAGAACTCCTTAGGTGAGAATATGCTATAGCTGAGTTTGGGGAATGTTGTTAAGTGCCAGTCGATTCCGACCCATAGCGACCCTGTAAAGGGTTTCCAAGGAGCAGCTGGTGAGCTTTGAACCACTGACCTTGCAATTCAAATGGCTTTGCAGTCTGGTGCATTAACTCACAGCGCCACACACCAGGACTCCTTTGGGAACATAGGAGATAGAAAACTGAGGTGAAGGAAGAAGTTGTGCCCGTTCAGCACGTGTTTCTTGTTCTTACTCTTCCTGGGAAATACTGAAATGTTTTATCTGTCATACCGGCTACTGCTCTCTGGTTGACTGACTAGCAATTTAGAATTTTTATACCTAATCTTTATTTACCTAATTATTTAAAAAAAAACAAAGCTCCAAATGGAAGGTTTAAGATCTAATAACTAACCTAGACATATGAAGGGACTTCAGAGAGTTCCTGTGAAAACTCCCGTTATCTTTCAATTCCGTTTTCCACCAAGTGTTTGAAGCTGCCTGGTAGAGTAGGTCTAAGCAGGTATTGAAGACGGCTTTGTTTGTAGGATGAGAGACTGAAACGACCTTGAGGGCACGGCACGCACGTAGACTTGGATTCCAGAGGAGGATTTTGGTGTCTAGACAGCACCTCCATCCTTACGTTAGGTGTGGTGTGAGTCCCACCATCACGGAGGTCTTTTCTAAGATTCTTGGGTGTCATACTTCGTGCAGAGTGAGAAAATCCAAGAAGTGCGTCCGTGCAGGCACGTAAGCCGTCAGTAACCACCGTTTTCTTGCTTTGTTTCCAGCAAACCGGACATGTCCCGTCTGCGACTTGCTGCTGGCAGTGCCATTGTGAAGCTGGCCCAAGAGCCCTGCTACCATGAGATCATCACGTTGGAGCAGTACCAGCTGTGCGCGTTAGCCATCAACGTAAGGAAACACGCTCGCTCGCTTGCTCTTGTCTTTGACTTTTACAAGGAGACGCCTCACTGGGATAGAGAGTAACAGTCTTAAATGTTTCTGTCTCCTTCCTTCTGAAACATTCATGCATGACTGATAGAGATCAGGGTCTTAGACTCCCTTAGCAGAACAAATTTCAGGGATTTCTAATCTCGTACTTAGGGGCCCTACTGGTGCAGTCCTCTTAACCTGAAGATCAACAGTCCAAACCCACCAGCTGCTCTGAGAGCAAGACTTGGTGATCAGCTCCCATCAAGATCACAGCCTCAGAAACCCCATGGGACAGTTGTCCTCTATCATATAAAGCGTCTAAAAGTCAATAGATTTCATGGTAGTTAGTTTTGGGTTTGTTGTTTTTGTTCAGTAGCATAGCATATACTTCATAAAATAAAGGAGTAAAATGTAAGCTCTTATAATGACATGCAGCATGGGATATACTAATTTCAGATTAGTAACATTCCCTGTTACTCAGCGAATTAAACTTTCAATTTATTATCAATGATACTTATTTATGACTTCCTGTTCCAGTTTTGAGTCCTGGTGTGACGTTGTAAGCCCTGAACTGTAAGGTTGGTTTGAACCTTAAGGTTAGCAGTTCAAACTCACCAGCCGCTCCTCAGAAACCCTATACATGTTGCTATGAGTCAAAACCGACTCAACAGCACTTAACAACATTCCAGCCTTGGGAGTGTGGTGGCTCTCTACGTGGCTCTACTGCAAATCCCAACCAGAAAGGTTGGTAGTTTGAACCCACCAGCTGCACTATAGGAGAAAGAGTGAAGCTATCTGTTCCTGAAAAGATTTACAGCTGGAAACCCTGTATAGGGGTCACTGTGAATCCAGGTCAACTGGATAAGCACCTAACAACAACAACAACAAAAAACAGCTTTCATAGTAGAATGATTTTATATTTAAGCTTACTGACTTTATAAATGTTTTGCATCATTGAGAAAATTAAGGACAAAAGGGCTTACACGATAGTGATGGTATCATGCTGATGTGAGTTTTTCATTGATCGTTGGTGGTCACAATATAAATACGATCAGTCTGAGGTGAGTTTTTCATTGATCATTTGGTGGTCACAATATAAATACGGTCATTCCGATGTGAACTTGTCATTGATTGCTTAGCTATTCCAAGCTGTCTTATGCTTCAGAAGACAGCGTCTATCTCAGTACTTTCAGAGTTGCATGTGACATGTGGTTCTCCCTCCCCGCCCCCCTCTACTCACGATACAGCTGTTCCCGCTTCCCCCACCAGTCACCTGGTTGTTTTTTGTAATTATTTCTGACTATGTCTGGTAACTCCGTCTTTTAAACAACTATTCTGAATCCTGTTTATGATTTTAGTTTTGTTTTTCAGATACTACACTTTTAGAAATGAGATTTGTGGGGAACCAACAACTTCATGGTTTAGTTTTTTCATTTAATTTTAATTGGCATAGTCCTATTCTGTGAGATAGTAGAAGTCGTTTAAAATTTGTTTGATAAATTTCTTAGAATTATTTGTGCTGCTTTAAAAATTTTTGAAGATAGGACTGAGGGCAACGCTTCCCGGACCAGGCAGCTCAGGTAGGGCTCCGGGGAAAAGGGGCGGAATTGTACATAGAAAACCTCTGTCTAGTAGACAGACAGCCTTTGAATAAACATAAGATCTTATATTTCAACATTCTGAGTTCATTTTTGTAAAAGATCAAATTGCTGAGGAATTACAGGCATTTTAAGCTTTTGCCTGCCTGCACGCGACTCCCGCGCCGGCGAGTGCCTCTGCCCCCTGCAGACCTTGAAATGCACAGCTAGAGCAACCCCACTTAGAAGGCTGCATTTCCAGAGAAAAAGAAGCATAAACTAACAAAGCCGAACAAATAGAGAGATTGGCACAGATACCAGAAAATTCGGGGTACCCACGGTACAGAGAGACTGAGAGAGGCATTTTTTACTTCATCAGATACGGACAATACCTCCCTACAGCCACTAAACCCAGCCCTCTACTGCTCTGGCCTAGACCAGCCCTCTGCCAAGCCGCTGAGGCTCAGGAACGCCCAAGGCACAGGTCCACCCACTGAGGCCAAGGCCCTCCCAAGGCCCAGACACTTGCACTGAGGCCAAGGCCTGCCCTGAGGCCCAACCTGCCCACAGACTGGTCACAAAGGCCCAACCAAGGCCAAAATCACCTACCTGCGACCACTGCATAGCCAGGTCGCTGAGGGCCAGGGCCCCTGAGGCCCAATCCACCGCGTAGCCTGGTCAGCCCGGTCCCCGAGGCCCAACCCGCCCACTGAACCCCAACCCGCCCAATGCCCAGCTGCTGATACCCAGGCCCCAGGAGGCCCAAACCACCCGTCCGAGGCCCAACCCGACTGCAGCCCGGTCGCTGACGCCAAGGCCCCCAGAGGCTCAAATCATCCGCCCTAGGCTCAACCCACCAGCCCGAGGCCCAAACGGCCCGCTGCTGAGGCCCAGGCCCAACTGAGGCCCAAAAAAGTTACTCTGAGTTAAGCAATAAGGAGTGTGAAAAGGAAGACCACAACCTGATCACACCTTCCTGGAGGTAATCAGAAAACATAAAAAATTACCAAAACACATACTTAATTACTAGGGCCACAGATAAACATTAAACATATCCAAG